CAAGTGCATAAGAAACATTTGAAAATACCATGGCTTTAATCAGGTATACCTTAGTCTTTAAACTGATACCATTGCTTTTTTAGCATTTTAGAGAACTCTGTGACAGCATTTTCTCAGTGCAACAAATCTTTTAATTTCTTGACTCCTATCATGAATGTTGACTGTAGATCCAAATAAATAAAGTAATTGACAACTTCAATCTTTTCTCCATCTATCATGATGTTGTCTGTTGGTCCACTGGTGAAAATACTGTTTTCTTGGTCTTGAAATGTAACCCATATTGAAGACTGTAGTCCTGGAACTTCTCTTTGTCTTCTTCACTTGCAGGCAAAATGTGTCATCTGCATAATACAGGTTGTTGCTGAGTCTTCCTCCAACCCTGATAGCATGTTTTTCTTCATAGAGTCTCAACTTCATGAATGATTTTTCTCAACATACAATTTGAATAGGTGTGGAGAAAGGATACAACCCTGATGTACATCTTTCTTGATTTTAAACCATGCAGTGTTCCTGCATGATCACAATGAAGTGTTCAGGGATTCTCATTCTTCTCAGTGTTAGCTATAATTTGTTATGATCCACACTGCAAATGCCTTTCTTTAGTCAGTAAAATGCAAATAAACATCATCTTTGCTTTCCACCAAGATACATCTGACATCAACAGTGATTTCTTGTGCCGTGGCCTCTTTTGAATCCAATTTGAATTTCTGACACTTCCCTGTCAATGTACTGTTCTAGTAATTTTTAAATAATCTTCGGTAATATTTTAGTTCCATGTGATTATTGCAAAGATTATTGTTCAGTAATTTCCACATTGCATTTGACCACCTATTTTTGAACAAAAATGGATCTATTCTAGTCATTTGGCCAGATAGGTGTCTTCCAGATTTCTTAGCGGACACAAACTGAAACAACTCAGTTGGTATTCCTTCAATTCCTAGATCTTCATTTTTTTGCTGGTGTCTTCAGTGCAGCTTGAACTTCTTACTTTTTAACCAATGGTTCATGGTCAAGTGCTACTTCCTGAAATGGTTTGATTTCAGCCAATTCTTTTTGGTACGGTAACTCTGTGTATCTATCTCCTTTTAATGTTTCCTGCTTTGTTCAGTATTTTTCTCATAGAATCTCTTAAGTATTGAAACTGAATACTTGAATTTGCTCTTCAATTCTTTCACCTTGAGAAATTCCAAAAGTCTTTTTCCTGTTTGGTTTTCTAACTCCAATTCTTTGAATTTTGTCTTTTCAACTGCTTTGTCTTTTCAAACTGCCCTTTGAAATCTGCTCATCTCTCTTATTTAATCCCTTCTCCTCTTTTGGCCTCTTTGCATTCTAGTGCATTAAGCACTAATATGTGATGTACTGAACACTATTGATCTAAGATCAGCAGAGTCATGAGAGAACATTTTCCATGAAGAAAGCAAAAGATTATTACAAAGACAGGAAAGACATGACCTTAATGATTAATGATGTTTAATCATCTTTTGATTTGCTTATTGGCCATTTAAGGAGTCCTGGAGTCTTAGGTTCATAAGAATCACAGAGTCGGAGAGTCAGCTGTGGGTCAGTTCTGACTCCACGGTACTCACCAATGACAGACAGAGTCATACTCAACTGCACCTAACAACAACAAAAGCGGTGTAATTACTACTATCTTCAAGGTCAACATTTCACCACAATGCACCAATACTGTGAATCAGAATTGACTTGATGGCAGTGGAGTCAGTAGATTTATTGGTCTTATATATCTTCTTTCATGAAATATATATTCATATATTTTGTGCTTTTTTTAAATAAAATTTCACTGTATGTCTTCTTGTTATTGAATTATAAGAGTTCTTTTTTGTGTATTCTGGATGTTATTGTATACCTTTGTGTCAATTCCAAGTAATAGGGACCCTACCAGGTTTTTCCTTGGAGGAAAGGATTTTGAAGTTCTGTCTCATATACTTTGGGCACATGGCCAGGACATCATGATTGGAAGGGTGGAGGGTCAGTGCAGGAGAGGAAGACCCCAGATGAGATAGATTGACATGGTAACTGGGGCAATGGGGTTGAGTGTGTCAGAGTAAGTGAAACTAGCTCAGGACAGGGCAGGCAGGGTTCGGAGCTATTGTAGTCATTGAGTGGCAGGTGACTCGGTTGCACATAGCAACAACATGTGGCAGTAAAACTACCTTCACAGGCTGTAATCTTTACAGAAGCAGATTACCAAGTCTTTGTTCCAAAGAGCCACTGAGTGAGTTTGAACCACCAACCTTTTAGTTAACAACTGAGTGTTTAACCATTATACCACAAAAATAACCAGGAAAGCAGCTGCCATCAAGTTAGTTCTAACTCATGCAACTTTCCTTCAGATTTCTGAGGGTGTAAGTCTTTATGGGAGGAAACCACCTATTTCATCTTTCTTCTATGTAGCAACTGGTGGATTAGAACCACTGGCATTTTGGTTAGCAACCCAAGACATAATGCACTGTGCTACCAGGCTATTCAGAATATTGGACTTTTATTACCTACATGATTTATAAATTCTGCTACTATGTGGGTTTTCTTCTCACTCTCTTTATAATAATGTCTTTTGATGCATTAAAGTATTAAACATTGATGGTACCCAGCTTATCTATTTTTCTTTTGTTTCACGTGCTTTTGGATCATACCTAATAGTCTATTGCCAATACCAATGTTATGGAATAACTATATTTTCTTCTAAGAGTTTTATCATGCTAAAAGTATAAAATAGATCTTTTATTCATTTTGACTTAATTTCTGCATAAAGTATGAAATATTCTACCTTTTTTGTCCTGACACTGTTAACTCTTTTGCATATGTGTGTGTGAGCGCGTGTGAGCGTGTAAGTAAAGAAATTAGAGTATGGTAGTTTAGTACGATTAACTTGATGGTGGCCTACTTAGTGGATTAACAAAGAAGAGCGCTCTAGGGCCTACCCAGGCCACTAAGGTGCTTCTGAAGAGCTGCCCGTGGGTTCAGGGTCATCCTCCATGGCAGACAGGCCTCACACATCAGCTGCAGCCTCTCTGAGTGACCTTTCCCTCCTGGGCGTGCCTCCTGGTTTACTCCCCAGGCAGGCTTCATGGTGGGGCCTCTGTCCCATGGCAGAGGACCTTTCAGAAAAGATCTATACCTGTGGGCCCAGATCCTCAGCAGGAAGCCCCTTAAGCTCTACCTTTGTTGAGTCCTGGGAGCTCCCTGTCAGTGGATGGCTCTGGTTGCCAGGAGGTTTTCTGGAAGCCGCTTACACGCCCATAAGTCTGTCCTCCCAGATTAGCGCTCTTTCATTCATTTCCAAATCCCAGCCAGAGAGCCTGCTTTCAGTGAAAACAAATCTTTGCCAACCTGGATTTCTGTCCTGCCCTCTGTGTTTCTTCCCAGAAGAACTAGCCTAAAGTGTACAGAATGTAAAAGGTGCTGGCTTCTCTGTTTCCTGCCTCCCTCATCACACCCACATGGGCGGGCTGGGTACGTGACTTCTCAAGGGCAAGGAGCAGTGCAGGCTTTCTATGCCTTTGCTGACTTCCCTTCCTGTGCAGTGGAGCCTGCGGGCTGTAGTCCCCAGAGGCGGGAGGGAAGTCTTATCAAAGTCAGGCCCCACTTTGAGACTTAGCATTCAGAAGGGCGGGCTGGCAGGGATTAGGAGTGCTGGCTTTACCCACCAGCTCTGAGCCACTTGCACCTGGACGGCTCATCTGAGCAGCCACCTGCCTGGTGCTGAACTTGGCGTATATCCCTGATACCCAGGATAGAGTCGGAGATCCAGCAAGCAGGTGGGTCATGCTGCCTGGCAGGAGCAACAAGTGGGGATGTGGCTTGCTCCTGAGAGAGGTATAGGGAAGGGTGCAGACTAGAGCATGGGGACCAAGAAAGTTAAGGACAGGAGGCAAAATGCAGGATACAGGTTAACGTGGGGCACAGGATATGGAGTGAAAGGTAGAATAGGGGTATGGTGCAGGGCAGAAGAAGGTATGGAACAGGAGGCAGGGTGAGGTATGGGTAATGTGATTGCAGGGTGGAGGCAACTGGTAAGCAGATGCAGGACAGTGGGTAAAGAGTAAGTTCAATACATTGTGGGATTCAAGGGCTGCAAAGCTAGACCTCTGGTTGTTGATAGGCCAGCCTTTCTGAGAGGTGCTCACAGAGCTGTGGGCAAGGATAGATGCAGTCTAAGAAGACACAGATCACAGATTGGGGACATTATGCTGCTAAGGGCACCCCACCAGGATCTCCTCTCCCCCATATGCTCTTTTCTGTGACCTGAATCTAACCCCTAAGATCTGTACATCTTTCCTATATGCATCTCCATAGAGGGCATCTGTGGCCAGAGTTTAAATCTGCACCTCTCTTTCTGTACTGGTATGGTAGCATCAGTGAGGCTCCAAAATCACTTGGCCCTCTGGGCATCAGCCTACATCATTAGCTTATAGCTATGCCCCAGGTTGGAAGCTGCCGAAATTGGGTCACCTCAAGACCCAATACCTCGAAGCACAGAGAGAAAGAAGGGACACATCCGTCCCAAGAATCTAGCATTTGAGCAAAGCCACATAGGGAACTATATCCAGGCTCTGGCTATCCACTGACTAAGGAAGGAGGAGGTTGGCTGTCCGTGGACAGACCAGGAACAAGCATTTGTCACCCAAAGTGTGCTGAAGAGAAGGCATTCAGTCAGACCACAGTGCCACCAGGAAGTGTGGATTAATTCTAGAGGCTAGGCAGGGACAGGCGGATCATGATGGTTCCAGGCTGGACATCCCAGAAGCTATATAATATAGCTCAGTTATTCTTATTTTCTTTCTCTATTGGAAATCTTTTGCTCAAAACCAGTGTGTGTGTGCTGCAATGTAACCATCCCATTGTTTGCTAAGTAAACACAGTAGCTCTGTGCACGCATATGGCCAGGAATTGACCAGACTCAGTGCAGAGCCTGAGACATCCTGTAGGGCAGTGGCTCCAGACCTACCTGTCTCCCTGATGTTTGCCTTCCTCTAGGGATGTCAGGACCAAGACCAGTTGTCCTGAGTGGTCCGTCAGGGGCCGGGAAAAGCACCCTGCTGAAGAAGCTCCTAGAAGAGTATGGCAATATCTTTGGCTTCAGTGTGTCCCGTGAGTCTTGGCAGCCCTCTGGTGGCATCATGGGGTCCAGGAGGGCAGTTTCACATGGCAGGCCCTTGAGTGTAGGACCCTCTCCACCTCCGTCACCCATAGAGAACACCCATGTGCTTGTGTAGTCCTGTAGAGATGACTTGGCCAGAAAGTGGCAAATGTGAGACCTAGTTGTGGGCCTGACCAGACAGCCTTGCTCAAAGCTCAGTTCCCACTGCTGTCCAGCCTACAGCCTGCATGACTGGTGTTACCTCACCCAAGGACACCCTGGGAGCCAGCCTGGGCTGGGCTGGGTTCGTGTCCAACATAGTCATCTGCTGCTTGTTTACAGATACCACAAGGGACCCGAGGCCTGGGGAAGAGAATGGCAAAGGTGAGCACAGCCTTTCTGACCTTGGTCCTCATCCCAGCCTTCCACCTATCTGCTGCCACCTGCCTCTGGAGCTTTGAAAAGTACCTTTCTCTCCTATTTCCTATCCAGATTACTACTTTGTCACCAGGGAAGCCATGCAGAGAGACATTGCTGCAGGGGACTTCATTGAGCATGCTGAATTCTCAGGGAACCTGTATGGGACAAGGTGAGTCCCGCTCTAGGTAGGGTGGCTTCTCCATGGGGTTTTGGTAGTGCCAGGTGACAATTGCTGGATAAAGTCCCGGACCCCCCGCCCCACCCCCCAACCCAGTGGTGCTCAGCATGATCCCTGACACCTGCAGCCACTGAAGGAGCCAGGTCAGCTGGCAGCAACCTGAATCTCTGCCTGACCCAGTCTTAGCCCACCAGTTAGTTGCCTGAGAGTGTCTATGTCCCACGATGCCCTTGCCAACACTGGTCTGTGGGCCGCGCTGGACCTTCCTCCCTGCTGTGCCTATGCACACGGCCCCAAGCAGTACCCAGAGAGCAAGGTTTCCACTCATCTTCCCTCCAGACCCTGCTTGAGCCCAGATAATGAGGCCCCTGGAGCAGAACCTGTGCAGGCAGGTGGGCAGGCCCTGTCATGCCCGCCCTGTGCTGTCTCAGTCATGCGTGGGGAAAGCTAAAAATAACACTTCAAGTCCTGCCTTAGATGCTACAATGGGACCACCAGGAACAACCTGAGAGGAGCAGTCAGTGAGCCCCTTCTCAGACAAAGACATCTCTCATACCCTGGGCCACTCAATTCTGTGATGTGCAGCTTATAGGCTGCAGAGTTGTAGAGTGGCTCACCCTCATGCAAATGTGTGGTACATGCTTAGGGCACACCTACACCACAGTCAGGTTTGTCAGAAACTTGGAGAGCCAGGGTTCAAACCCCACGGCCAGGCCTATTCTAGACATGTGACAGAGCTAGTAAAAGAGCACAAAAGCAGTCCTTACTGAACAGGACCACCCAAGGCAGGACATGGGGGGTGGGTTGCAGTCCGCAGCAGATGACAGGCATGGCTAAGGCAGGCACTCACTAGCTGGGATTGTACTGTGTAGGCCAGCCAGCCACCACGTGAGTGAGGTGGCATATGAGGAGGGGGCTGATCAGGGAAGTCAGACCCAGACCTATAGCAGATAAGCATCCTCCTGGAGCTGTCTCAGTCCCTCTTGAGTATATACCCAGGGAAGTTGGGATGGGTGAGCCTCACAGGTAATTAGAGGCAGACCTCCAGATCAGTGCTGATACAAATATCGTCAGCCTAGTGGGGAAGGCGACAGATTCCTTATGGGGCTCCTCAGTTCTGAAGGAGGTAGAGACAGGCAGTGACCCTGAGAAAGGGCTCCCAGCTTGGCTGAGCAGCTCCCGCCCCACAGCAAAGCCGCTGTGCAAGCCGTACAGGCCATGAACCGGATCTGCGTGCTGGATGTGGACCTGCAGGGTGTGCGGAACATCAAGAAGACGGACCTGTGGCCCCTCTACATCTGCGTGCTGGCACCCTCCCTTGAGATCCTGGTGCGTTTGTGGCTGTGAGAAGGAGCCCTGCAAGTGGAGCTTGGGTGGGTAGATGTGTGGGTAGCTGCATGCAGAGACAGCAGCTTGGAGGCACCTCCAACCCCACACATGGGTGTGTTTCAGGAGCAACGTTTGAGAGGCCGGAACACAGAGACAGAGGAGAGCCTCGTTAAGCGGCTGGCCACTGCCAAGGTCGACATGGAGAGCAGTGAGTATAGACTCCCGCCTTGTCCTTCCCATTTATACACCTCAGAACTGCCACAACCACTGTGAACAGAGCTGAGGGAAAGTCCCTGAGGAGTAAGACAAGCACTTTGGATCCTGAAGTGGAGAGGGTTTGGAAAGGCAAAGTGTGGAACACTCCTTCCCACAGACACCCTCTTCCATCTCCCTCAGCACCAAGTTCAGGGCTTGATCTTCAGACACGCTCCTTCCCATGGCCCTGGAGCCTGTCCCCGGATAGTAGAACCCACTGGAGGATTGTGGCAGGAGTCCTTTCACAGCGTCTTCTTTTCACTTTGGTCTGACTTACACCAAGATGAGAAGGAGTTTTATATAAATGTCCTGCCTGTCTTAAAGAGCTCAGGTGATACTGTGGCTAAGGCGTTCATCTGCTGACCAAAAAAGGTGAGCAGTTCGATCTCACAAGCCACACTACAGAACACAAATGTGGCCGGCTGCTTCTGTAAAGGCTATAGCCTTGGAGCCCTTGGAGTGGAGGCATTTCCACTCTGTCCTGCAGGTTCTCTGTAGCCAGAATCAGCTTGAGGGTAGGAGGTGTGTGCGTGCCTGCTTCGTTAGATGTCATGAGGCAGTAACATTGCAGTAAGATCAAAACGAACAAAATGTTGCTATGACAGAGCAAAAGGATCAAATGTTAAAGGGGACTGAGGTGTTTTCCACTGTTTGGAAAATTGGGGTTAAGGGATCACTGTGACACAGAAGTGCATGCCAAGGCTTCTAGGGGGTCCAGGAGAGGGGAGGAGATAAGCCATTGAGGGGAGGCTCCAGGTAAAGCTGTCCCTTCTGGTTCCACTTTGCCCATGGGTATGAATAAAAGAGGGACCTTTTGTACCATGGACTGTGTCTCCCCAGTGCCAGCTTGGAGCTCTATGTAACACTGTTGTGGAGATGAGAGGATATTATCAAGGAAGTTTCCAAGTCGCAGTCCCTGCTCAGGAGCTTCCTGCTGAGCTGGGAAATGACAGACTTGTAGACCCAAAGTCAGTGCCTCTGGAGAGTCTAGTGATTGTCGGCTGTGGCAGCATGAGGTGGATGGTCCTGGGGAAAGGACTATGAGGGTAAGTAGAAGGGCAGGACAGCACCTTGTCTCTGAAGGTACCTCTTAACTGTGTTTTCAGGCAAGGAACCAGGCCTGTTTGACCTCGTCATCATCAACGACAACCTGGACAAGGCATATTCAACTCTGAAGGAGGCCCTCTCTGAGGTTAGAGTCCCCTGACCTCATGGCCCAGGGTGGAAGGCAGGTGATAGGGGTCTGTTCCCACAGACAGCCAGGCAGCAGGGAGCCTGCCTGTGCCATGAGTGAAGCCACACCATGCCATGTCTGAGAGGCATTGGGAGTCAGCTGGGAGCTGTATTTACAACTTCTCAACCCTTCTCCCTTGCCCAGGGCTCTTCCCAAGACTCCTTTTTCTCTTACTTGGCAGGAAATCAAGAAAGCTCAAAGGACGAGCTGCTCCTGAGGAGCACCCCAGCCTGCTTTCATTACACAGGATGCATTCCAGGCCTTGCCCCCCATTCCACAGTGTCCCTACTGGAGCTGCAGCCCAGATCCTGGCAGCTCCAGCCAGTCTGGACCTGGACACTGCCTCAAGACTCAAGCTCAGGAGTCTCCCGTTGGGCTTAGGCCAGACCAGCTCCCACAGTGACCCTCCTGGCCTGGTGTGAGCCCGGCCTTGTATGCACTGCACTCCTCAGTGACCGATGGCCAGCACCCTCTGACCTACACCCCAGCAGCCAGAGCTGGGGTCACATTGTAATAAAATCGTTCCTGGGGTTATACAGTTGAGGTATCTGGGACATTTCTGGGTTTTCCTGAATGGAGAGGCCCAAATCTCTACTTTGCTATGACTGGTTTTCCTCTTGCCCTGGCTTGGCAGCCTCACGGCCCTCTCCACACTGGACAGCCTGCCTGGCCATTTGGAGGGAGAGGGACAGCTGTCCTGTTATCAGGATCCTGCCAAAGGCAGCTTTCGCCTTCCCTCTAGGTGCTTCTTTTCTTGTAGGGAGCTTGTCAGCTTCCTAAGTGGTGTGAGATCCGGAGAGCCTCTGAGCTGGCACCAATGGGATGCTGAGAGCTGCCTGAGGGTGCTTCTCTGGGCTTGGCTCCTGTGAATGATCTGAGTAGTTTCCAGGAAGCAGCCTTGCCTTCCACTGCTGCTGCTGTGAAGCTGCTGTATGGTGAGAAAGTGAAGGACAAAATGCGCCTTGCAGATGGACAAGGGCGTCTATGGTACTGTTGTGGGGTGGGGTATGTATGAGCATGCTGCATGCAGTGCCCACAGCCATCACTGGGGGGTGCTGGCAGCACACAGCTCACGGTGACATCCAGCCCCTTCCTTTCTCCAGCTGCAGACAATACTGGAATACTTTGTTCTTGAGGGTACTAGCTGACTAGGGGAGACCACTCAGGAACGGTGGGTGGTGGCATTGTCGGTTATAGTAGGGCACTCAATGGTGTGGGAGCTGGGATATTTGTTCCATTTGTGCCTGTCAACCTGGTGCATGGTCTGTGGCCTGGCACTCTTGTTCTATTATGATTGATAAAACAACAGCCAAATGGATCCAAATTTTTAAAAATTAATGAATCAGAGTACTACACAGAACAGGAAAATTTATGGGGCAAAGCCTGCTAAGAACTTAAGCTTTCCCTTAGAAAGTGCCAGGGCAATGTGTTCATTGAATAGCAACCACATCTCTTGACCAGCTGAGGATCAGACAGCTGTGCCCATTTCAGAGTTGATGCTAACCAAACCACTCTGAATGCGTGCCCATCTCCACAGCCCTGGCAATCATCTAGTGTCACACATAGGCTCCTGAAAGGGGTTACTATGCCATTTCCAAGTCCTCAGTATTGAATAGGCTTCAATTCATCATTTTTCCTCTTCCAATTAGCATATCTAACTAACCCGTTGCCTTCCAATCAAAACGGACTCATAGCTGGCCCTCAAGTGGGTTTTCAGAGACTGTAAATTACATGGGAGGAGATTGCCCGTCTTTCTCCATGGAGCAGCTGATGAATTTGAATTGCTCACTTTTGGGTTGGCAGCACAACTTACTAGGCCACCAGAGCTACCTGAATGAGAATTTAAGGTCCTTTAAGTTTTACAAGACATGTCTTGGAGAGGGTACAGCCAGATTGCTCTTTGGAGGCAAGAATCATGACACTTTGCTTCATATACTTTGGGCATGTTGCTAGGAGGGGCTATTCCTTGTAGAAGGACATGATGCTGAGAAGGGTGGAGGGTCAGAGAAGGAGAGGAAGACCCTCCACCAGGTGGATTGGCACGGTGACTGCCGCAATGGGCTCTTGTGTGAGGGTGGCACAGGATAGAACAGAGCTCAGATCATTTGTTCATAGGGTCACTATGAGTCATACTCGACTTGATGGCACCTAACAACAACAACAACAAATTTTACAATTTCAGGTCTGTTCCATTTTATTTCACTGATCATGACTGAACCAGTTTGAAGCAACTTGACACTCGAGCTGCTGCTCATATGAGCAGTGGAGAAGCTTCTGGATGACCTGGCTTCGTCAACTTGCTGTGCAGCTTTGGGAAGCCTCGTCCTTCTCTGTGCCTCAGCCCCAAGGCCTGCTGGGACAGTACAGTACAGCACCCTGCTGCCCAGCCCCCAGAGACAATCACAAGGATTCAGACCCTAGCTTTGGTGGGAACAATGAGGGCCTTGAATAGCCCCTCCTCCCACTGCATTGTGCTTGGTGGTGAGAGGTGGCTCTGGGTCAGCCGCCTGCACCACTCAGCCCCCAAGACTTGGCCGTGGGCAGACACTTTCCCTGAGCGGGACCAGTCAGCCAGCAGGTGGACAGGTTCAGAAGCAAACTCTTGCATTTCCTGGCCTGGAGAAGGTAGGGCCCCTCCCCTGTGGGAAGCCAGGTGTCCTTGGCAATTTGGACTACGTGTGGTTCAGAAAGCTGGGATTAAGGCCCAAGGGCACCCCTGCAAGGTCAGGAAGCCAGAGCTGGCCAGGCAGGGTTACTTGAGGTCAAATGCCTGGACTCCCCTCTCCCTGCACCCCTTCCACTGGTTTTGCAGAATTGGACAGTTAGGGGACGGCAGGAAATGGCCACCAGGTGCAAGATTGTTTAAGGGCATTTGAATTCTTGTCTGTCCATCTTAGGGCCAGTGTTCCAAGGTCACATCGGGTGTCTAGGATCTTGCAATAAGGCGATGAAGTTTGTGATATGGGGAGCAACAGGAAGCAATCAGCTGCCCTGGGTCTCTAGTGCCTGTCTTTGGAAACTACCACAGCCACCTCATCCCAGCAGCTGTGCCTTCTCAGGCCACCAGAGGACAGCCAGATCCCTCTAGCACCAGCTGGGCCCCCTCAGCCTCAGGAGGACCGCCAGCCTCACTCCAGCACCAGCTGCAAAGTCCTGTCCTTTCAGGCCTGGGGAGGGAGGTCCCCACGGCACCAGGCCCAGCCCTCGAGCCTCACATTTCGTGAGCCTGTTACGGGGTGGCTCCCTTTTAGGAGGCCTGTGCTGTTGGGAGTGGCCCTTGCCCCCTGTGCTTGACAGGTCCAAGAAACCACTGGGAGTTAGACACCCCCGCCACCCTCTTACTCAGATGGGCAAACTGAGCCCCACAGCTTCTAGCATGGGCGATCTTGGCTCAGTGTGGTGGACTTCCCAGTCCTTCCGCTCCAGGCCTGTTCATTCTCTGTGTGATGTTAGGGCCTAGATACTCTCACTGGTCCCCAGGGACACAGTAGTGAGAGCCCTTGCCCTCCAGGAGCTGACAGCACAAAAACAGCAGACACTGTAAGTAAGGTGTGCGCACGTGATTCTCAGTGGGGCGTCAAGGGGCTCTGTTGAGGTGGTGTTTTGGGGAGGAAGTTCAGGGAAAGGTTCAGGTCTGGAGGTGCTGGCTGGCAGATAGTCTGAATGGCTCACAGGTTGCAGGACTGTCTTGCCATCCCTGCTTTATCCAGAATACAAGGGGCCCTGCAATCTCCGTAGGTTCTAGGCCCCCAGGGCCTTTCTAGGGGTAAGGATCTGGCTTCCAGGCAAGTTTGGTCACTCTCCCTGGCCTGCTCTGGGACTAGAGTACAGAAGGGACAGCATTCAGGACTCCAAGATGGTAGAACCTAGAATTTACGTGGGAGGCACTGAGAGTGACTCTGGATAGAAGCAGTGAAACTGGGCGATGGCTACCACTGTAGATGGACACATTCCTGTCTGCCATGGAGACACTGTAGAGCTGGCCTGCCTATCCTAGTCACTCTCCCTCTCTGACCACACCACTTGTAGCCCAGGGCTCTGGGCCTAACAGATGAATTTCTGTTACTTAGGAATGCGGGTGAGGCTATGATGGGAGAGCCAAAGGAGCAATTCTGGGAGCCCTCACCCTTCCAGGTATCACTCTCTCAGTCCGTTCTGTGGGGTTCTAGGCTGTGTATCTCAAGGGAGGGTAATGCCATCCTTTGCAGAGCGGCTCGTGGAGTCAAGACTACCATAGAGGCTTGGCCTTTGGATTAGCCATGGTAGAGGAGAGGACAGGGTAAAAGCCAACAGAAGGGTGGTGTGTGCAATCAGAGGGCACGAGGGGAGATGTCAGTGAGAGTGTGTGTGTGAGTGAGTGAGCTTGAGTATATGAGATTACTGTGCATGTTTCTGAGTATACTGTAAGTAAAGGTAACTAGACAACGTATGTTAAAGTGTTTTGTGAGTGTTCACATGTGTATTGTGAGAGTTTAAAAGAGGAAGTGGAATGTCCATGTGTGAGTATCACATGAGATTCAGTTTGTTGTAAGTGTGGATGCACTTTAAAAATGTGTGACGACTGTTTGTGCTTAAATGTGAATGTGAGAGTGTATCATGTAATTGCATGTGTATAAAAAGAAAATGTCTTGGGAAAAAGTGTAGCCAGAGTTCTTGGAGGCACAGATGGTGAAGCTTCTATTCCTTGGAAAGGGACATCATACTTGGAAAGATGGAGGGTCAGTGAAAGAGAGGAAGACCCTCGACCAGGTAGGTTGGCACAGTGACTGCAGCAGTGGGCTCTAGTGTGTAAGAGAGAATGAGGATGAGGATGGGACAGACTTCAGGTCTATTGTTCATAGGGTCGTCATAAGGTAGCTCGCACTTAACAAGAGAGAAAGCCAGTGTGTGTGCATTGGATGGTACCAAATGTGAGGGAGCTGGAGCAGTCTTGAGGGTCCCAGGTCTCTCAAGGACATCTGACCCAAAGGCAGGTGACAGCTCCCTTAGTTGGCTGTAATTGTGGAGTGAGCAGCTGTTTGAAGGCAGGGCTTGTTTCCTAAACCCTAAAAGAATGAGAATGGATGAGAAGACACACCTTCAAGTGGCTCTTTTATGGTTAAGAACTGCACCAATACCGATACCCGCTGCACAGGCCTTACTCTCGTATCCCCTACATCCTGTGGGGGAAAGCGGCCCACAAGCCCCAGTAAGCCTTGGGACAGAGCCGCAGCATAC